ATATAATTCCAAGCTCATATTGAGGTTGTTCTAGTTGTTCAGGAAGATGTTCACAGTAAAATCTGACTGAATAGAGATTTTCCTGCAAGCGAAGCCAAAAACCAGTTTTGAGCTAGGGAGAGGTGTCTGACTTTTTTTAGAATATTCATCAGAAAGGTGGTATCAGGGTTGCACATGAGGAAAATTGATAACAAGTTATCAGTCATAACTAAAATACATCTGCATAGTAAACAAACTAGCTGTCCCTTCTCTTGCATATACAGTTGGCCTTTGCATGAACAAACTCCACAGTCAATGGTCATAGGTATAAATTGARCTAAATTTCCATGGTTTTAGTCTGTGCCAAAATGTCAGTGCTTGCCTTTAGGCTGGCTTAATATTCAGCGAGGTCATTAAGGCCACTGGGGTCTATCAGAAAAAGGCAGACAAGATGATGCCAGATTTAATAAGTTTAAATAGCACCTGGGGCTGTAATAAGTTCTTTATAAAGCAACAGGTCATGCTGTGTCAGTAGAAACATCTGTCAGCTGCTTAAGAAAAATGAATAGATATTTTCCTGATTATGGAGAGGCAAGAGGAAGAAMGGAAAAAATGGTAAAGTACAGAGGGTGTAAAATAAAACTTAAGACTAACTTTGGCCTGTGGTTTGTGAACCACATACAAAGCTTATCTATTATAAAGTGCAGTAAATCCTTTTTTAATAGCAGCAAAAGATAACTTGCCCTTAGAAGCTGAACTGAATCAGCCTCTGCTTCCAAGCTAAGCTGTGATCACTTGTCCACATTCAGCTCTCTTACAGGGATTAAAGTCAGTTGTCTATGAAACAAAGTGCCTCCAGTGTTTTGAGAGACAACAGCAGRTGTGCTGCCTGCTCCATGCTGATGCTGGGTGACAGAATTAGTGCATTAAAGCTAGARAGTATTCCTTTAGTGGATTGAACAGCTTTATGCACAAATGCCATTCTTTCACTTCACTCACCCTTCAACATTTGTAACTGCAAGATAAAGTTTGTTTGATTGCAAGAACATGGTAAGGCAGAATGGATGGATAAATAGTGACTGAGTGAGGTAAATGGCAATAAGAATCACAATATCTAAGAACCCTCAGAATCACACATTAGCTATAARCACTAGGAGTAAAAATGAAGATAGCTTTGAGGGGGAGAGCAATCTTATGGGGAATTGGGGCAACCAATTCAATACAAACCTAAAGGGAAAAAGATTTGCAAGTTGCTGTGACATTGAAACCTGGTAATAGTGCAAAGAGTTGTGATCAATCAGGAAGAATAGCATGAGAATAAAGAAGAGATTAGGAAGGAAAGGAAGAGGTAATATTTTTTTAGTTGACTGTAGCACATCACCGCACTGTGGTTGGCGCACAGTGRATTCCAGCCTAGTGACAGAGATCAAGTAAAACTCCTAAAGTTTGCCACATTTGGGATAAAGTAAATCACTACACCCTTTTTGTGGCATAAATTAGAATCAAATACTAGAAATAGCATTTCTGGTATCTAGCATTTCATACCACTCTATGAAATAAGATAAATAAACCAGTAGTGTTTTACAATTGCATAGAATATTTCTCAAACAAAAGGGACTAATGTAGAAATTTTTATGAMTCTCTTAACACTGCCTTTATTTGTATTGTTTGGGGGGTGCTTGAGATTGGCCCTGGGGAATAAAGAAAAAAGGAGAGAGGGGAGTCTGTATTTAGGCTGATCTACTTGCTTTGAAAATACCAGCCCTAGATCTGCTACTGCAAGTCATCAACAATATTAAGAGTTGTGAAATACTGGCAAAAGTAGGAACTTTCCCATCCCATCTCAGTCCCTTTCACAAGGCTGTTTGCTTTGGCTTTGTGCAGAGTTTCAAAGCTTGGCCCACTGAGTGTTGGCATTCCTGTCACTGCTCATAAATCAGGTGAAGATCACTCTATGAAACCTGGCTTGTCATGGTTTCATGTACACAAGGCTATGCTGTTGTCCCTTAAAATGATGGGTAAGCCTGTCAAGAACACTTGGGATCTCAGAAAAGCTTTTGCACATGCAAAAGGAAGTGCTCACCATAAAACCAGGAAACTCCGATTGCCTCCATTAGAACAGCAAACAGTATTGAAGTCCCAGCTGCAAATGTGTCCAGAAGTGTGAGCACATAAATTCCACCCTGCAGTGGGGAGTGAAAAGATGCAAAAAAGAGAAGTTACAAATAGAATCATCTCAGTAGTTTAGTATGTACTTAACAGAAATCTGCTTTACTTGAAGTGTTATCTTAACCCAAGTATTTTAATATGGACTTGATGCTGCAAACACAAGTTTGGGTTAAAGAGGAGTGGAAGACTGTTGGATACAGATTTGATTCAAAAGGAACTCGGATCAGTGTTTCAGAAAACTCTTCGTCACACATAAACAACTGAAATGTTTGCAGTTGCAGTACATTTTTGTTAAAATAYCTTTTTAGAACCAAACTTAATCTGATTATGCCTGTTCAGAAGGGGACGAACAAAGGAATTATTGTCTTAAATTATTATTTACCACCAATGGCATAAATATCACTTGTACTGTTTGGATCTGTAGGTGATTTTAGCCTATGTAATCAGATGCCCTTTTTTTCTTCATTAAAGATGTTTTTCTGAAGCAGCTGTGCATATTTACAAAATAGGGATACCAGTACTTAGGCCTCATCTAGAGTTTTAATTCTGTAGGGATTTGTCCGGAAATGGAATGAACTTTGGTTGTTGTGTCAGAAAATGTTGCTTATTGAATGACATTTGAGTTTGACCTCTTGTTTTTGCTCTACACCTGCTCCAAAWGAATGCCTTTGCAACCAAACTTTGCAAAGTGAATTATTAATACGATTTTGTAAGAAACATACTTGTTTCAGAAACAGCTACTTTTGAAAATACAGCCATAAAAAATCAGAGGGCAAAATGAAACATTAATTTCATGTGATGTTTTTGCAAGGGCTTTTCTTTTTATTTTTTACATGTTAGAAATTTTGTTCTTTAGTTATGTGAACCAATRTATTTGGACAAGTCTGGACAATTCTGTGAATTCCAGCTGGAGGGGCAAACTTAAGTCTAAACAGGTGCTATTATTTAAAAGCTAGAGTTAGGTCATTATCTTGAACAGCTTTAGCTCACTTGGYGGCAGTGGAATTGCACCCACTGGCCCCTGTAGAGGTTCTTAACACTAAATTTCTTCTGATATTGTACTTCAGAAACTTTTATTCCAATTGAAATATTGAATTAACAAGAGCATGTTCAGTTTTAGGTATCAATAGAAATAGTATGGCATAAAAAGGATAGACATTTTAAATTATATGTCTATTCTTAAACTCTCAAATGTTTCTCAGGTTGAGGAAACTGGAGTGAAAATTCTGGGGTATTTTAATGTAAAAAGTGCCTAGTCATTTATAAACTTATGCCATTTCAGTAATCTTAATAATAGATTTGGAAACCAATTCTAGGGATGGAGAGAGGTTCAGCACATCTGCTTTTATGGTGGCTACCTCAAGTTTCAGTTGTTTTTTGACAGTTTTCGCATCTTTGTTAATAGGTATCTTTGATTTTTTTATGGTAAAAAAAAAGAAAAAGAAAAAGTTCTCTCCAGCCTGGAATACCAGGATTCTCATTCCTTAAGGAGTTGTCAAAAGCCAGAGGAGGCAAAACACTCAGTCTGATGGCAGTGATAAATACAGGTTACTAGATGTTCAGGATAAGTTTTCTGTGTGCTTTATATGGTGTTAAGAGTAAAAGATGTCAAGAGAGGAGATCATTTTTCTATACTCCTTTCACAATAAGTGAGTGTCTCTTACTTTCTCAAAGAAGAGAACAGCTGGATGACAAAGGGTCTGGTCACTTGAAATTCTTAGTTCCTCACAGAGGAATAAGCACTCTACACAATTCCATTTAATGTGATTAAAAACTCCAAAACCAAACCAAACAAAAAAAAAAGCCCAAAAAATCACAAAAAAAGCACACAGACCCAGCAGTAGCACAGACAGTTCTTTGGAACAAAGACTTGTAGGCTTGGTTGATAACTAATGATCTTGTGCCAAAACCCAGAGAAGCTTCATATATGTAAGATTAAAAGCTATRTTCTGAACAGAAGTTGTTTAAGAAYTAAAATTTTWAACAAAAATAGTAATCTGAGTCCATTTACATTTCATCCGAYAAGATTAATGGCATTTTTAAGGTAACATTTTGATGGAAACTTTAGTTGTACTTACATTGGTGATGCAAAAAAGGGCAAGGAGGAAAGTGCCAAAAGAAACACCAAAGGTGAAGAGCTTTCTGTGCTGCTTCAGAAGGTGGAAATCATCTGCCAAGCCGGTGATGACAGCCTCCATYCCACCCATCTGAGCGAGGGAAGGCAAGAGCTCTGGTTAAACGCTGCTGACTGATGGAAATACAGACTGAAGARAGCAAAGCAGTTTGTGGAATTCATACCCAACCACCCTACGATTTCTGGCATTTCAGCTGTAAATTACTGGTGTTATGAGGCTTTTTCTTTTATGGTAAAGGACTGAGTCAGGGAACTGGACCTCAAGAGGGGTGGCTGTTGCCTCTGTGGCCGTATCCTCTGAGGACTGTTGCTGACTGTTTGCAGTGGACCTAGCTTTTCTTTAAAGGTAATTGATGTTTATAACTAAAATGTGCCAAAACCCAGTGTAGACTTATACTTCCTGATGTCTGGAGGTGGCCTCATTGAGTGTCCTGCAGTTGGGATGGGTTAATGTTTGATCTTTTCAGAAGATGGTACCATGTTGGCAGTTGGGGGAAATTGAAAATGGAAACAGATGGCTTGGATTATTTTTGCAAAGGACCACTTCTTAACGTATTGTGATTTATTCTCCTTGTTAATTCCCTTTACCAAGCTAGAAATCTACAAAAAAAAAAGTTTGCAAACTTTTATTCCATTTTCATTGTTGCTTGCTTCAACTTGCTTCATCAGATTTCTCTTYCCTTGAACATTGTGACAGTTCCATTTTTGTACAGACATTTGTATTTCTGTGCCAGTGCAGGCTTACGTGCATGAATAAATGTAGCCATATACAATTATACCTCTCTAGCTTTGGGGTTACTTGATTTTTAGCTTTAAAAGTTTCCATTTTCCCTTCAGGGACTTGATTAGTCAGATGTGGGGGAGAGTTGAGATCCCCATAAAAAGTACTGCATGACCTGAGTTTTCTTTGGGAAACTATGACAAACCTTGAACGAGTAAATCCTTCCCCTTTTAGAAAGAAAGAACTAAACTTGACCACAGTTCACTAGTTCACAGTATTTTAATTAGCTCCAGAAGAAAAAATTTTCTCTGCTTGTAGGAAAAGTGTGTTCTGCAAGCTAAAGCCTTGTGTCTTGGTCACTGTTATGTTTCTTTACATTTCCTTACATTTACTGTTGTTGCAAAGTTCATTGTTCTGGATCCAGACACTTCTGAGCACGAGCTTTCCTCTTCTTCATTCTGCCCTTTTCCTACTGGTCATTCATGCTCTTTCACTGTGCTAAACCCTTCATTTCAAACCTTCATATTTGCTTACAATTGAAAAATGGCCAAGCTACAATCTCAAATATAATCTTCCCTCAAACTTTTATCTAAGGATCCAGTACTTAGTCTACAAAGACAAACTTCATTGAACCTCAGCTGGAATAAAAAATCCAAACACTTTGGAAACATTTAGACCTGAATCTGACCTTTACAGYTCAGCCCTCACTCCACAAGATCTCATTCAGTTATTTGCCAATGATTATCAAAGCTTCCTGCAGCAATCTCATTTTTTTAAGTTTTGCTCTTCTCTATGCCAATTCATTCTTTCCCTTTCTTGTCCTTGAAAAGGAATGAATTTTCCTGAAATTGTAAGCAAAGAAAACACCATGTTTTACCATTTCCAGCAAGAAATTCCTAGATCAACTTTGTACATTCTGAACTTCAAAAGACACTTCTATGCTTTGGAATAATAAGAAACCCCTACCCTAGTAAAGAAGATGAAAATTTGTGCATGGTTCACTATTCCTYAAAGACGCAATGTGGTTTTCCAGAAATTAATCAACCTTTAAGCTAAATACAACAGGATGTCATGAGGCGTCTGTGGAAGAACTAAGCAGTACAAAAGTTGTCTGGAGACTTGGAATATTTTCTGAGATGAAATTTCTGTGATCCTGAATATCATGGTGTGGTAAAACTTATCACATTATGGAAAGAGCAAGCACACCGGTTAAGCTAGACATTTTGCAGTAAGATTATAACAAAAGGAAACCACTATGGAAATATTCTGGTGTGATTTAAAAATTGTGATTAAATTTACAGGAAGCTTGGTACTGTGGCTCATAGAAAAACAATGGGACTGCCTTTAGACATTGTCTATCTTGAACAGATTAATGGATTTCAGCACATACAACAATCCCTTCCAGAAACCACTGTATTCAATGTCTTGTGTTTTGCAAGCAGGGATCCAAAACCTTATTGCAAGYTCATGGTAGTAATAGTTCATACTTAAATAGCAATAACTGTTGATGAACACTCCCTCTGTAAGGTCATAAAAAAGTAGCAGGGAGTAAATATTTACTGGCTWGTAAAAGATTTAATCTTTTCCTAAACCTCTGAATGATTGAGAGTCTTTATAATACCGGGAGTAATACTATTGCTATGCTGTCTATGACTGTGAAAACAGATTTAGGCAATGTGCAGAATGTTTATTTGAAATGTAACCCCCTGCTTAAGGCTGATGCCTCTCCAGTTACAGAATATAACAGTGAAAGAACAATGTCAAGGCTAGAAGGAAAAGGTACTCACAGAACTGTCGATGCCAAGAGTAAGGAGCATGATGAAGAACACCACAGCCCAAAATGTAGATCCTGAAAGAGTTGAAATTGCCTCTGGGTACAGGATGAAAACTAAACCAGCTCCTGGAACAGAAAAGGGGGAAAAAAGGTGTCACTAAATGATGTTTCTTGTCTTCCCAAAAGTGTTTATTTTAATGAGATAAATTGTAAGTAAGTTGACTTTTACTTCAGTCCTTGTCCCAATGGGTACCTGTTAAAACAAAATTTGCATTATACCATATCTTAAATGTTTTAATAATTTACTCATGATAGTTTGATATTTAAAAAAAAACCCTATCCTCCTCTTTTCCAGAATAATCTTTTATAGGATTTGCAACCTTACTAGTTATTTTTCAGCTATGTAGCGGAGAAGGAATTATGTAGATGCAGAYTCCACTGTTTGACAAGAGAACTCGTGGTTGTGGTGGGAGGTACAGGAGCTGAGACTGTGCTGAGAGCTGTTCTCAGGGAAAGGACTGCAGAGCATCAAAATGAATCGCCTGTGGCACTCAACAGCAATACCTTTGTAAGACACTCTCCAGTGGTAAATAYCTGCTGGTTGCATGAGCAAAACCTGAGGGGATAAGATGGGGAATTGGGGAACCTCAGTTCAGAAGAGATGAGGGGCATCAACACCATTTAGAGTTCATATTTTTACAAGGCATTTAGACATACAGTTCTAGTTCCAAGTAAGTTAATACAGTTCACTTCCATGAGATTTTCTCATACTCACACTTGTTGGAAACAGATATAAGGGCATTTGCAAAGAAGTGGTGCACAAAAGTGGGTGAAATTACTTCTTACCTTCAGTAGCTACATCCTCAATTTTAACTTTGTGCTCATGAGCCATGTAGCCCAATATGGAGAAAATTGCAAATCCTGAGATGAAGCTTGTGACACAGTTAATGGTGCTAGTCAGCAAAGCATCCCTAAGCATGGAGAGAAGAACAGCCCAGTGAGAAAAAACTGTAAGAATAGGGATTGTCTTAACATCTAACTTCATGCCCCATCCTCCAGTTCATAATGAACTTATAATAMATGTATTTATTGAATTTATATTTAATGGGAAAAGGGACACTTGTTTTCATTCCAAAATGGAATGTTAACAAAACAGCTAAATGTTGGAATTTCTCAGAAGGTGCAGAGTGATTCTGGTTGAATTTCCATGATGGTGATTCAGCCACACTTACAAACTGACTTCATTTAAAGTGCATTCCTAAACTGGAGTGCAACATAAAATATCAGAGTTATAATCCCAAAGCACAGAAACTCTTCTGGAAACTGGAATCTTTCTGCTTTTAGTTCCTGGACCAATGAGATTTCATCCTGTGTTCACTGTTGCACTTAATGGTGCTTTTGAAAGGCAAACATCAGCACAGTTTACACAGCTGTCTAAAGTCCAAACCTAATCCTGTTCTKCTTTGCAGTGCAGCAGATATCTTGGCAAGTTCCTGTTACTAAAATTTCAGTCAGGAAKACAGTGTTTCAAGATTTGGGTTGGTTACTATGTCTACACAAAACTCACCATCATTAATATATGACCGAAGATAAAAAGATAGCTTAATACTTATTTCAGCTGCAGTCAGAGTAAAATAGCAYAATTTTGCAGCACTAATGGAAGAATAAATAGGCTCTTACCTGTAGCAGTTGTTGTCAAACTTATTGTAACTGGCAAATGCAATTAAAACRCCAAACCCAGCTCCCAAGGAGTAAAATATCTGAGTAGCTGCATCAATCCATACCTGCACAATGACACCAACATTGCCAGGGTCAGTTCAGTCCACARGGATACAGCAGGAGAAAAGCATTGGATATGAGAATGAGAACAGAAGAGTACACTTACTGTGGCTTCTTTCAATCTTCTGAAATCTATGTGCAAGTATGCATTTATTCCATTGTATGCACCTGGCAGGGTTATTCCATGTATTAATAAGACAAATAATACAACATAAGGCAAAGTGGCTGTTATCCAAACAACCTGCAGACAACAGAGATCCCAAAGGTTAATCAGCTGTTACAGAAGATTTAAGAATATGTAATAAGTACAGCTGGCATTTTCTTGGTTTAGTCCATTCAGTTTGAYGGAGAAGCTCTTTTTAGGATATGGGGGAAATTTGTGTTATGTATCATGAATCTTTTCATATATAAGTTTATAGTTATTGGTAGGAGACAGTTTTGACAAACAGAAGACATTGTCAGTGTGTGTTAGAATGCTGATTAGCTCTTCATCTCCATGGTGTTTATTAAAAATTGYAGTCATTGCCTGATGTTAGGTGATACTTTCGTGAAAATGTACAAAAAGCTTTCAGATGTATCCAACTCTAGAATTTCTGTTGAGGTGTTTTCTGAGGGATATCAAAGAGAGATTTCAAATTACTTTCATCAGATATTTCTCATGACATGGCATTTTATACAATAAACCCAAAGTCTCCTATATCATTGAAACATTAGTACATTTGGCTAAGAATAGGATGCACACATAAGACAATTCTGAATATTTAAAAAGATTTTCTGGATGAAACCACCAATTGAATTGAAAATAACAGGTTAATAAAATTYCCAGTTGGAATATCACACAAGCAAAACTTGTAAATAAAATAAAGCCAGAATTGGGATTGTGTATTTCCATTGCACATATGTGAAGTCCTCTCACATATTTTGATCCCTGAGGATCCCTCAGAATCAGTGGTTTATCTTCTTGTTTTCTCAGATTAGGAGACTTCTTAAAGCAGAAAAAGAATGTAGTGGAGACAGAAGGACAATATTATCTCTACCTTTCCTGAAGTCTTCACGCCTTTCCACAGACTAAAGAAAAGAATGATTACCACCACCAAGAGGCAGAGGGAAAGCTGCCAGCGAGGCAAGCCAAGGTCATGGATCCCACGGCTTTCGTGCAGGTGCAGAACTCCTCGCCTACACAGCAGATACACAGAAACAAAGCAAAGTCACTGGGGGGAAAAGGCTTTGGCTCTTCTCATGCTGGGGGCAGCAGGAGCTGCCCTGTGCACCCCTGGCAGTCAGGGACGGTGTTTGGTGAGCTTTGGGCTGTGCTTCTCCCCACAAAGCCTGGGTGGTCTAATTCGCTCCTTGCTGTCTGTTTACACCACAGTACCATCATCATAACCCTCTTCCTTCACCTGAAATGTTTGGGGAGTTTAGAAATACCATTGGTTGAATCTTATTTGAACACTGAACAGATGTCCAAAGAGGCTGTAGAATCTCTGTCCTTGGAGATGTTAAAGCTTGGCCATTAAAGGCCTTGAGCAGACTGATTTATTTTTTTAAGACAGCCTTGATTTTGATTAAGGAGTTGTATTAGATAATCTTGAGAGATGTCTTTCAAACTGCATTATTTTGTGATTCTAGATTAGCAAACACCTGACTTCCTGCTTCTGTAGATTCTCACATTTTAATAAGAAATGTTGTAYTTTTTTACTATTTCTGTGACTAATTCCTGTTGGATAAAAKATACTTGTAGAAAGCATCCTCCTAGATTAAGCAGCTGATCTGCYCCTTTGTGAGACTAATAACATGTGAGGCATTAAAAGGGTAGTGACCATGTGTTTGTGGCACTTAGTCAAGAATGTTCCTGTTTAGAAAACATGAGGAGAGTTTAAMTCTTATTATTCAACAACACAGCTATTTAACAATATAGCTGTTACCCATGGAAGCAGTAATACATGGAGGCAGGCTTCTTGATACTTAATTAAAAAACCTGTTATCTTTAATTAAATTTAAAAAATAGGTACGTTCCACTCAAATGTTGCTTGGAGTGTGAATAAAAACTACTTCTATTTCTACTAAAATCTAGAATTAATAGAGAATCCACACATGCAAGTGGATTCTGGGCAGGGATGCCTGATTCCATCCTAAACTTTCCCTCCTGGGTAGTGATGAGTAGAGCAAGGAAAAGTGTCTGATCAGAACATCTGGCCAGGATCTTGGGAGGGTTTTGGCAAWCTGTGCTATCACAGTTACACTGCTAACACCATCAGAGCGTGGTGTTTTAAACCAGGCCCTTTGGAGCATGACAGAAAACCACAGTCTGAACTTGCATTCTTTGTGCCCATTTAACATATTATCCTTCTTGCCCAAATGTTTTTTTCTGGATTTGTAGAGAAGTTGCTTCCTTGTGTGCTCGCTTTCCAAGAAGCAGCCAGCAATGTGTCTTAGTGTTTGGAGCACTTGCCAGAACTGCCATTTCAAATGTGGGATTCCCAGGATTTGCAGGAAAATCTCCATTCCAAGGGTTCTGCTCCCTTAATCGGGGTAAGAGATCATAAAATAGGAAGAGAAAAATACTTCTGTAACCAGTCAAAACAGCTGTGTATCAGGGCAGCTAAGCAAGGAAATCTTTATAGACAGCTGCTGTTTTGAAGCTCTGATTCTGGCAGATTTTCCTTCCTTTTTCTTTTTATAATTTTCTTTTTGTTTTGTTTTTTTTTTTCTTTATGACATCTGAAGACAAGTTATAAAAACTTTCAAAAGATGCCATTTTAGAGGGTTGCTGGTAAATAGCTCAYGAATCTTCACCTGCTAGAACCTACATTTCTGTTCCAGTAGCACCATCATGYATCAAAGATCTAGTGCTAGACTGTGATTTATGTTAAAGTGTGCTGACATCTTTAGGAAAGAAGCAATGGCCAAAGTATTACATAGATTAAGCTTTCTTGATTTAAAGAGTACAGCTCTGTAATGTTCTCTGAAAAATGGTATTTTTTTTCTGAGAAGGGCAAATTTGAAGAGAACTTTGCATTTGCTGCCTTTGTYCAAGTTAGCTCACATCAATGATGTCACAGTTATTTCACACCAAGGAGTGCTTATTTCAGGAACAGCTGAGGTTGTTTCAGCCTGTCCATGTTAAGGCAGTTTGAGTGACAAATCCCTGACTGGGTCTTTTAGATTTTACTCAGTTGCTTCCCTTATACTGGCTGCAAAGAGGAAAATGTGAAGAAAGAGATACTACAAGATTCCCTACTCAAGAAGGTCTGAGGTCAAAACAGCTGAATTTTCATTCTTTTATATTAGAGCAGGATAATGCAATGTGGCCAACATCCATCCCTGAATCGAGGTTTCCCACACTCGTTTCAGGCCTGTCCCCTGTCCCAATGCCATGAAGACATGTACAAATCATCAGAGGTGTGTGCCCTGTGTGCCTCACTGCCACCCTGGGCACAATCCAGGGGGATGCCAGGGGGATGCAGCAGCCTCTGTTTTTCTCTCTAGATATTTCAGCTCCCTCTTGTGTTGGAGAATGGAGCTGTGTAATGGACTGCAAACTAGATGTTGGGAATCACATAATTTACCAGTGGCACCCTGGCTGGCACATAATAAGTTATTATTTGTATTTAGTCACAGAATTTACTGAGATGGAAGAGAACCTCAAGGATAATTTAGTCCAACTGTTCCATCTGCACAGGGTGTCTCCAAGAGATGTTCACATTTCCYATGCCTGAGAGCATTGCCCAAACACTTCTTGAATGCTGTCGTCAGGCTTGGGGCTGTGAGCACTTTCTTGGGGAGCCTGTCCCAGCAGCCAGCACCCTCTGGTTGAAGAATCTTTTCCTGATATTCCACATAAGCATCCCCTGACTCAACTTCAGGCCATTGCCTTGGTGTCACTGTCACCACAGAGCAGAGTTCAGTGTCTGCCCCTCCTCTTGTCTCATGAGGAAGTTGTGACTGCAGTGTAGTCTCCCCTCAGTTTCCTCCAGGCTGAACAGACCAAGTGCCCTCAGCTGCTCCTCACAGAGCTTCCCTTCAAGACCCTTCTCCATCTTCACAGCCCTCCTTTCGGTGCTCTATAACAGTTTAATATCTTTTTTGTACTGTGGTGCTGGAATCTGCCCCCAGCACTGGAGATGAGGCCGCCCCAGCCCAAAGCAGAGCGGGACAATCCCCTCCCTGTCTGGCTGGTGATGCTGTCCCCTGATGTCCCCAGGACAGGGATGTCCCTCCTGGCTCCAGGGCACTACTGGCTCATGTTCAACCTGTCATCGACCAGGAGGGCCTCCAGGTCCCTTTCTACAGTGCTGCTTTCCAGCATCCCCATTCCCCAGTCTGTGTGTGCACCCAGGGCTGCCCCATTGTGGGTGAAATGGTATTTTTGAATCACAGTAATGCTGAGAATGTTTATCTCAATGCACTGAAAACTTTATTYGCTCATTAACTTGGCAATTCTGACCTCCCCTGCTATCATGCCCCACTTCAGCACATTCATGGCTCTCCAGAATTTATAGTTTCAGAAGAATTGCATGGAAAGGCCAGATGTGATTAATACAATATAGGGCTATCCACTCTCATTATTTCTTGTTGCCTGATTCAGTTTTGATAATTGTTTATAGGCAGAAGTGCTTGTCCTGACTTTTGAATTGGTGTTTTCTCTTTTGGGAGAAGTTGCTTAAAGAGTATTTAAGGGGGACAGGTTCCTGCATCTTTGGAGCACACAGCATTGGTCACTCCATTTGATGGGATACTGAACACCCCCTTTGGCTGGGGAGGCATTTCCAGTGAAGACTTGTAATCCAAAGCACGAACCTATTGGTCTATAAAGGTAACTTTTGTTGCATAGGGTGAGGGTTTTTTTTTTTTTCAGGACATTCTTGGTTCACACACTCCTCATTAATTTCATAAATATGATGTTAAGTTTTTGTGATTGCTCACAGCTGGGCTGACTTGTGAATTCTGTGAATTTCCTTTACTGAATCTGGCATGAAAATTTCGCTGTAAAAGGGAATAAACTACAGTCCTGAGAAAAAGTACTGTCAGAGGGGAAGAGCTGCAGCCCAGTATTTTGTTGACAATTTTACTGTCTTGTCTAAAAAATTGCCAAGATTTGTTCGTATGACAGATTGTCATTTTTTTGCAGGCAAACACCTTGTGAGAAGAATAGTGCTTTTGCTCCTGCAAACTGGTATTTTTTAATTGTCAGCAGAAACAAAAGCTAGGTGATAAAATATTTTTCCCATACAAAAAAATAGAGAGAACAAATACAAAGTATGCCTGTGYTCAGATAAAGTATTTAAATAGGAGSAATGTGGAGKATATAGGGGAACTTTATTTTGCAGTGATGTACTTCTTCCAAAAAAAAAGGCTTCTATTGAATTATTTTAACATGTGTGGAAAGGACAACATGTGTGGATTTTGTGTGTTCAATTCCAAACCACTGAAGAGGGAAGGAATTAAAGTAATGTGTGTCTTTAAAAAATGTGGAGTTGACATTTTGTTCCTAACTAGATTTCCCTTATGTCTGGCTATTGCTAGCAGAGAGGCACCAGTTGTTATTAGATTTTAGCTTGGTTTGCTAAGTTTACAGTGTAMAAATACTTTTTAGTTGATTTTAACCATCTCTACTGAAATACTGTAGAGGTCACGTTCCTTCCTGTTTAAGGCCGTGTCCCCAGGACATCAGCAGCACCTCRGCCTGAATTCAGCCTCAAAAACTGAAGCCAGACTTGGTAAAATGAAACTCTCTGGAAGGCCTTGGTCTAGAAGCACTTCAGCCTAAGCTGTGCCCGGCTCCTGAGGCTTGAAAACAAAAGCCAAATATGTTTTTCAAAGTTCTCCTGTCATTGCCTTGGCATGCAATTTGCAATTTCAAATGATTTCTTCCAAGTCTGAGGCTTAGAGGTTTCTCTCTGCTTTTCCTCCTGGCCACATACTGGAGGTTAATCAAGATTTGGCCTAGATTGAAAGGTTTCCCTTTTCTCACTCAATGTAAGTAGTGACAACCAGCATATTTCTGCTGAATCTGAGGCACCTTTCTTGTAGTATTTGATGAACTGTCACATCACAGTACTCCCACTTCCTCCCACAGTTTATTCCTGTGCTGGTGGGGATCGAGGCATTCAGCTCTGGCAGCTCCAGGGCTTTAGGAAATAATCCACCCTAAATTCATGGTCGGGCCAGCTTAGTGTGAAGGGATCATGTCCCATAGAGAAGCATCTGTTTCTTTTCAGGATAATCACACTGGCTCTCTGCTTGGAAGTGTCTCTTTTCAGTCACTTTCCAACTGCAAAATAAATGTTTGGTGTTTCTGGTGTCCCTGCTTTCCCCTCAGCCAAAAGTTTGTGTRTGAGTGTCCTGATGTAGCTGCACAACCCAGAGAACCAAGTTAAAGCAGTTTCACTTCCCATTTACTGACTATGGCACAGAACATGAAACTTTTTAATCAGAAGATTCAGCTCTCCCTGTTGTAAGACTGTGGGCACGAATTAGGTTGATATAAGAAACTGTTTTCTGATTTGGTTTATTAGGTTGGATCTGAACACACTAAGACTKTGTACAAGTTTGGGTCCACACCTGAGCTGTGCAGCTGGACCTGATGAGCTCATCCAAACACTGGATAAGTAAACACAATGGCCCTTGGGATTCCCTGCTTTTACAGCTGGGAAAACAGATGTGATAGAGAGTTTTACTTAAGTGGTGACTGTTCTCATTTTTGCAATGTAATCTAGTTGCTAATAAGTACAGGGCCTAGTGACTTAATTACAGCCCCAAAATTCAGGGATGAAAGCATAATGTAATGTCAAATTCCCCTTTTGTTCTTACCTTCTGAACGTTGCACCTTGAATCTACCTCACAATGAGGAAAGAGCCATATTATTTCAAACCTTAATATTTCAAACCATAATATTTCAAAACCTTCAAGTTTCAGTTTACAGACAATCGTTAATTGAACTCTTCCCCAGATTGGTGGAACTAAATCAAAACATCATTAATTGATTCTACCACAACCTCACCCACTACAAAGTCAGAATCATTCCCCAAGCACAATGTGATGGCAGAGTTGTACAGAACCATTTTAAATCACAAAAAGGAAAAGCAAGAATATMGGAATTGCATTTTCCTTTACTAAGGCTTAAGCACAAGAAAATTAAAGAAACTGTTCTAAAAAATGCTGTTCAAATAAAAGTTCTATAAAAATGCAGTTCTTTGTCTTAAGATGCGGAATGAATAATTTCTTCTAGTTCACTTCAAAATCAGGTKCTTTGGCTATATGCATATATAACCTTTTGCTATGAATGATCTGTCTTTACATTTGTGTTGTGAACACATAAAATGTTGTAAGGGCAGTAGATTTCACAGCTGTCATTATTTGCCATTTTAGTGAGCTCCTTTGAACTCAACCCCCATCTTGTTTTCAAAGCACTGAGTTCAGTTTACCCAAACCCCTGCCAGCAGTTTGTGTATCACTGCTGATCTTTCACTGTGCTGTCTCCYGAGAAGGAACAGCGGCCACAAGTGTTAAAGAGCTACAAACAGAGACCCCAAGATCCCTGCTGTAGCCAGGCATGGGGTAACACACACTCAGTTATTTATGGTAGCAGTATTTTCCTTTATTTCTACAGGGTTGGACTTACTGCTCAGCAGGTGTGTGCCTTGATATCCTTCTACTCCCAACACAGAAATATTAATTAATTGATTATTCAGATTAATTCAACAACTGATTCAATAGTCTGATGAACATCCCCCTTTTTTTCTCATAATCAAATTCTATTTCCCTAAGTCCATAATGAAAATATTTCTACAGAGATCGATATATTTATTTTATAGGTTAATTTCTATTCCTTTTTTGGGTTTGATTCCAGCTGTTTGATTTGAGTGTCCCTTTGCCTGTTTTGGCCCGTGTTGTAGAACACTCCATTGCTTAAGAATTGGTAAAAGCCTGTCTTCCTATAACCTGGCTCTTTCCTCCTGCTCAGTGTTTCACCTCACTTCATTGAACGGTTGAAGCAGTGGAACAATCAGAGCTCTGCTGTCTGCTCTGAAATATTTTGCAAGTAGAGAAGGAGTCCAAATCTTCTGAACAAATGGTAATTTTAAAGCCTTAAATTCAGCTCAGTTTGGCATGCCRTCATCTCTGTCAGAATATTACTGTGTTTCTTTGCCCTGGCAAAGCTGGTGCAAGCAAAAGTGGCACATAAGAGAAGATTTGTGTCTTGTCCAATTCCATTCTGCTCAGTAGCGAACCCTGCATTAGGTACAGGAGAAACCAAAGCTCACAGAGGCAAAAGTCTGSAATTCTGAGCATAACAACTCCATTTTAACCTCAGTCTTCTGAAGCTCATTCTAGAGGCTGGATACAAACTATTTTACCTTCAAGATGAAACTCACTTACACACAGACTTTTGAAAAAAATAGCAAAGTCAAGTCAACACTTACTCATAAAATTCAGCTGCAGGAGTGAGCTTGTACTTTGAGTATTTAGTGCCATTGCCAAGCACTGATGCATTGAAGAGTTTGGGATCTGTACAGTTTGGGCTGTTCCAGCTGTTGTGGCAGTTGGTCCAGGGGAGCTCAAACGTGAATGATGAAAATAGATAATACAGAGACCAAGCTATGATCACGTTGTAGTAGAAACCCACGTAAAGAGCTATGAGTATCACTGCATAGCCTACACCTAAAGACAAAGGAAAACCACATTATATATTGCATTTGATTTGCAACAGTATACACAAGCACTGGAGTTAAACTCAGCCATACATGATTGCAAACTTGTTTTAGGTCTTCACACCAATAAAAGGAATTTYTGACATTCGCATACACATATGCGGACACAATGTCCCTGACCTCCAGACACAAAATTACAGAAATGGTTTTGGAAAATGACTGGCTTTTATCAAATCCAGTTGTTTGTCAGAAAAAGAAATTAAGCAGTGCAATGTCAAAATTTGTCCTTGTACAACTCCATCGCTGATTTGCTTCCAATGCAGAAGACTGCAAGCCCATGTTAGGAGCGAAAYTCACTTCATCTTCATGACGTCAGAGACCTTGGCAACTTCTCTTGGAAAAGTAGAGCTCGACACATAAATGAAGTTTCCCTATGCCTCACATTCCCACCCTGAACTAGTTTGGAACAGACACTGATCCCTCTTGATTCTTTCCCATTACTATTCCCRAGATTGGCTTCCATCAGCATGTAACTGGGTCCAAATCATGCATGAAACAGTCTGTGCTGTTCCACTGGGGGTTTCCAGGTTTTGGACATGCCAGTAAATCTTRGTGAGTATCAGGTTGGGGCTACACTGTGTGTGAAATTCAGCCCTTTTTCCTGTCTCTCCAGGATTACAGGATTCCTAGTGTAAGCATTCTCTTTCAGCTTCAAACATTTGCTTTGCATTTTTGCATATTGTGAAGTGTGCTTGGAGGGTCCCTTTAGCAAGAGTGCCCCAGAAAGTGCATGTTCTCCTCATGAAAATGGACATTTTCCAACTGTTTGGGAGGAAGCTTTGGTACTAATGTTGGAGCCCAACAAAAGTTGGCTGGCAGAATTGTTCAGGAAGCTTGCTCTGCCTTGACTTCAATCACTCTTCCTTTACAGTGTGTGCAGCTTTGTTCTTTGGATCCTCCCTCAGAGCTGTGTGTACTGCATAACAGTAGAGTTATTTTGTGAACATCATCTCTGGACTGCCACAGTGTTTAAGTGCAAATCTTTACTTCTAATTTCCTTCAGTTTAATTTTTTTGCATTGGAGGCCTAACAGTTGGAGATTATTAGGTTTTCTTATTTCTTCAGAAAAAAAAAAAAGAGGTAGCAAACACTGTGTTAATCCTTGGTTTAAAATTTGCATAAGGAACAGATGCTGACCCTGAAGGAGTTGGCAGTTCAAAGACTGCTGCATGTACAAAAGTTACTCTTTGCTCTGCAGGAGGCTTTTAATCTGTAGACCAGTCTGTTCATCCCTAAGAAAGGGGAAATTACTGTGAAAGTAAAGAYGAAATTGTATTTTCAAATCCTTGGTGCTTAAATGAACATAGACATGAACACTCAAACTCCAGTGATACACTGTGATCAACAGAATGGAGTGGTGGGAGGAATCCCCCAAATGGATAATTCCTAAGTATTAAGATGAATGTTAAAATACTAAGTATGGATAATACATGAAGTGCTAAAATTGGATGATTGCTGTTTAAAAAAACTCCTCCTRAAATTTCTCCAATTCGGGAGGACAATGAAAGGTGTTTAATATCAAGGTTAAAAAAAATACTGGACCAAATGTGTTTTAAATTTCTCTCMTCTGAAATCTCAAGAATGTTCAGGAATGAATTTACTCTTATGTTTCTAGGTTTTCTTAAAAGTAAAGCTGCACCACCCACAGTCTAAAATAGACCCTGGAAAAGAATGCAGAGATGAAAACAGACTGTGTTACAAAGGTTACAGGGTATATTTGTAGTTGCATGTGTTATGATAGCATCTCATTAAAAGCAGAGTGCTTAGAGTTCACAGCAATAATATTCATAGCTAAAATTAGTACTATAGTGCTGTTCATTTAGAGAAGCTATTATAAATTTGTGTAGACTGTGTACTTTTCCTCTGAGTGAGAGATTTGAGTTGTCCCAGAAACAACTCCAAAGCAGTAAAATCTGTTTGCATGTTATCAGAAGTTTTAGCCAAAACCTTAAAAGTACTGMGTTTATACTGAGGTGCAAATGCATCTCAGTGCTTATCACTTTTTGAGAATCAAATAACTTAAGCTCTTCTATATACTTGTAATAAGAAACCTTAAAGATCAAGAGTAACGTATGTTTAGTACACCTTGAAAATGTCAGCTTAAAAATACAGATGGAATGTCAACAAGAATATACATKAAATAAGTTCTATTTTCCTTTCTCATAATCTTTCCAATCCTGAAGTCAACACAGAGTACCTCTGAGCAYAGCGGTATTTGGCTCGAATGCTTTGACATCTTTAAGGTCTAATTTTTGCATTTAGGTTTTCAAATTCCTCGTTGTCTTACAAAGATACCAATAGGAATTTTTACTGAGCAAGGGTATCCAGGTTTCTGGGTGCTGGGATGAATTTTGTCTGCCATGGCAGGATTTTAGAAGGGCTAGGCAAATCTATATGAATTAATTTTAAAATTTTGAGGCACATTATTTTATTAGCTTGCTTATATATTTTTTATCATATCTCTGATTTTGCTGTGAGTTTTGGGTTTGAGATTTGCTGTGAGACTGGTAAGAAAAACCCCCTTCACTTTTCTTATTGGGTGGCACTAGACTGCTTGAAGAGGAAAGCTGTATTTTGAGAAAGAAGACTAACATTTACTCAGTGTAACCTATATCCAAGCAGCGGATCCATCAAGTTTGGATTGCTATTGTTAAGCTTCTCAGCTTTTATCATCCCAGGATGAACATGATCTGAATTTTAAGGTTCTATGGTCAGCTGAGCTTGGCTGGTTTAATTTCAGATATCTCTGKGTTGAAAAGGCTTTTGTGTAAGATTTTAGATAGAATCTTGTATATATGAAAAGCAACTTACATTTTTTTGCTRGCAAGCAATGCTTTAAAAGATTCTTGAGGTTTCTTAACAAATACTTGTTTCATGTACAGAATGCATTGATCACTTCCTGATCAAAGCCAAACACCCTRAAACACCTACTCTATTTATTCCTTGCAAAATAATTGTAGCTCAGTGCACAAACAACACTCCAGAGCCTTTTATTCAGTGCTGCTGTAGAGTTAATCCTAGTGGAAAACACTCAATAGTAATAATATTCAGATTTTAATAAGTGTTTTTCATTGCTAAATCTGAAAACCACTTTACAAAGACTATCAGAATCATTGCTCCCACTTCATAGGCAGGAAAACTGAGATACAGAGACACCACAGCAAACTCCTGTGATGTTACAAGCCCAGTGGCTGAACCTCCAGTCCCCACAACTGCGTGTTAGTGCTGTGGCCACTGTGATGTGCTGACTCTTGCAGAGAAAGCTCCTTGCCCTGAATGGAACAGTGGTTATCTGATGGGGAGGACAGGGCTGAACTGGCCTGGATGGGATTTGGTTCCCAATTTGGATTGGCAAACTCCTCCCTCCATCTAGAGATCCCCAGAGCCTCCCTCTCCCCAGCACTCAGGGAAAGGGAGGGCAAGGCTGAACTGCTCCTGCTCATTGCCCTCGGCTACACTCAGCCAGCAATCACCCCGAAAAAGATTCCTGGGGCTTTTCCCATTTTGTGCTTCACCTGTGATAATAGAAAGATTTCTGACTTCCACGGTTGGGGAAAGGTCAACAAATACCACGCTGTCTGTGAAAGATGAGAGAAGATCTTTAGGTTGTCTGTGATCACACACAACCCTCAGGTGCTGCTCAAGGGAGCAGAGGGACACTTACCTTTGAAAACTGGGCAGATTTTCCACACAGTGGCAGCCCCTTCTCGGTTATATTGTCCCAGTGCTAATTCCATATAGAACAGGGGCATTCCAGCAATGATTAAGAAGAGGATGTAGGGAATAAGAAAAGCACCTGGAAAGACAGTAAGTAGACATTGTAGTCTTTGTATTGGTTGCATTTTTCTTTCTCTGTTGCTTTTACTGGCTAAAGACAAAACCACCACTCTTGGGAAGTAAAAATGAAATATCTGGAAGGAAGAACCCATGTGTTCTCATCCCTTTCCTGTATTTTTTAAAAGTCTCAGAGACAGAATTCCTGACAAAAACTTTAGGCCATAACTCCTATTTCCCCCTAATGCTTCCCCTCTGCTTTTTGGCTTTAAAGGGGGGAAAAAAATGTCCCTGAAAATGAATTCCTAACTGAAGCAGAAAAGATGCTGAACACACTTGCACAGCTGAAAGGGACTGTGAAAAATCTTGTTAACCTTTTTTCAGTGTAGTATGTTCAGAAGGGAGCACAGAGCCAGCAACAGAGAAGAAAAATGTGATATCCTGTAAGTGCAACTTAAACCATACTGTGTGAAGTGTCTGCAGGAGTCTCTGGCTTGAAAATTAMTTACTACTGGTTAATTATACAGATGTGCAGGATGTGGGGGCACTGCTAGGCCCAAGYACAGCATCTTGATATTGTAGCAGGACAGTGCTGGGGCTGCTGGCCCTTCCTGGAACACATCACTTCACAAGACTAAGGATTCTCCTGTGAGTTTTTGCAATCACTGAGAAACTGTTGCCTTAGGGAAAAGTCCTGGTGTGTCAGCTACTATAGCATAAAAAGTATTGCCAACTGAAACACAAAATGATCATCTAACTTAAAAACTATCTGAAAATTTCCTAGCTATTTTATATGATCCAGGACACAGAAAGAAGATTCCCCCAGTTCATGGCTACATGTGATATTATAAAGCAATTAGAGCTGGTGTCATGTTTAGTAACTGTGTGCTCTGTCACTTCTGTGCTTTGTAGTACGTGCAAAGGGTAACTTTTATTATACTRTGTAGCTTGTTTGGACAAGAACAGTTCAATTAATATGAAATTTGCCTGTATTAAAAATATTATTAGATTGCTTTAATACTACAAAGCTGACAGAGTAATTACATATCCTGAATAACTGACTAATGTCCTTAGGAGTTGGTTTTAAAAGGAAACTAAATTGTGAACATCATGGTTCAATTTTTCAGCAAAAGGAAGAAAAACAACAGCAGCTTGTCTATTTCTCCCAATAGCAACTAGTATGAACTTTTGCAAACCTTTAAAATCTGTTGTRCTGGTTTAGTAATTTGAAAACTTCCTTTGTAAAAGGAAGTAAGTTTGCATTGCTTCTAAATTAATAAACTTACAGAAGGTAAAAAGCTGAAAGCATGACTTTAGCTTTCTAAAACATGCCAGTAAGCAGAATAAATTACATATTTAAAAAGGTTGAAACTAGTGTTGTGCTCTTAAAAGTCTGTACAGCTGTTCCTTTACCTCTTGTGTTTGCTTTTCACAGATATTACTGGTGTAAGCTGCCTAGCGTGACTGCTCAGAAAGGGAATTTTGACTATATACTGGAGAACAGAATGGAAAAACAAACTGCTCTCTTAGTCATACCACCAATCTACTTCTAAAATAAYGTGCTGTAACATAATGGTAAGGACAATGTATTCAGCATTCAGTCATAAGTTTAGTCATTTGAAAGCTGAAACCTTGCAATGAAACAGATATATCAACAGCTTAAACTCTTGAGAAGATGTTTTAAAAATTGAAATATATTGATTGTATCACTTTGGGGGCAAGAATCTTCTTCAGGATGGAGTGTAATATAAATGCAACCTGCATTTGTATAAGCTACTACAGTATCAGTGATACATGTTTTGGTAATCTGTTTTCTATGTGTCATGTTGAACTGTTTTGTGTTTGAATACTGTGCAGAAAAAAATATTTGTATTCAACAGGTATTTGATACCTTGCAGTTCTGAGCTCTGTTCAATGTTGAAACACACCCAGCAAAACCAGTCTGGGATACTACATATTGCTTTCACTATATCTGGTATCTGCAAAGAATATTTTAGGTGGTTTTACTGTCAGATTTCCTGCAAGTGAGCTTTTGAAGTGCCACACTTGCCTTCCTTTGATAGTATTACAGTGTGTGGAGCTGACTCACAAACCTGGCTCGTATTTGGGAGGTATGGAGTTTGCACAGAGTGATGTTTGATTAATGTCACGAGACTGTGGAAAACGTGATGCCTATTCAGGGAAATTTGTATGTGAGAAGATTAATCTTGCACRTGTGTAGTGGACACAAGTATTAAATTCTGGTTTGAAATACGCAGTTTTAAAGTATGACTAATACTTAAAGATGAACTGTGAGGTGCACTGTACTTAGGCACACTCGCTGAAGTGTCATCCATTTGGCTGCGAGTCATTCCAGGCTTTAGTTAAAGGAGGTTTCGTTCTTTTTTTTCTTCCCCYGCCCTACCCCCGCAAGGGATTAATAAGGTGTGGTGTAATTTTCATCAAAGAGCAGTTACAYAGTATGGCAGGGTTTCATAGCTGGGTTACTTTTCAGGTGCTAAATGATTGAAGTATTTTGAAATTGAGATAAATACCAAAGTAAGGGTGCTTAGTCATATTAGTTTGACTTAATGTTTTGGAGTCTTCTGGAAACTTCTTGTTTAGCAGCTYCTGATTAGGTGAAAAATAACAAAAAGTCAAGTATTTTTGTAAGTATCTTTGTATTTGCTCTTATTTTCCTTGCTGATATCCAGACTAAATTTTCACRGTGCTCACTGAACCCTGTCTGGGATCAAGGCCCCTTCAAAGAGAAACAAAGGATGGTCGAAGTCTCATTCAAATTTCCATATGAAATAAAGACAGAATGGAATGGTCTGCAAATGCTTGTTAGCAGCCTGTGTGTGAGAGCTGCCCAGTGTCATTCTGGGACTGCACAGGSCTCCATCACGGGGCTGTTTTGGAACAGCGTCCTATGAACAAGAGGGGTTGTCTGGAAGACTTTTTACMATCTTGAATGTGTGAACATCCAGGGAACAGGCAAAGCAGTCCTGGTGGGCTTCTTGTTATGGATCCACTGGTGTGAGCAGGAGCATCAGCCCAGACTGCCCTGCAGGAGGGCTGTTAATATCTACTCTCGGAGGTCAGAGTGTTTTAGAGGGTGGCACAATGTCAGCCAGGTCCCTCCTGCCCGTGCCACTGGCCACAGAAACTTTAACTTTAAAGCCACAGAGCTTTAACTGCATGAACCCAGCGTCATGTTCGTGGGGACCAGGCAGCTGAGCTCTTGGGAAGCAGAGCTTGGCCAAGGCTTGAGCTGAGCCTGCCAACCCTCGCACCCCAGCGAGCCGAGGGAGCGCACTCTGTGATCGCTGCTTTGGCACCAAGGCGCTGACAGCACTCGAGGGGATTCCACTCGCCCACGGTGTGAGCACACAGCTGCATCCCACAAGGCACACCAGCCTCAGCGATCCCTAATGGCTCCTCATTTCCCWCTACAGCTAAAAATCGGAGGTAATTAACATTAATGCAGCTCTGGCACAAGAGTCACACTTGACTCTGTACTGAGTCACATGCAGCTCGAAAGCCGCAGGTTGGCCGCAGACTGCTGTGAGCTGCTGCAACTCCCTCCTAAACGATTTCACAAATCCATACGTGTCCCTTTAAACATGTCCCAGTGCAAACATGGGGTTAAGACAGCTTTAAGTCTTATGCAAAACTGGATTAGGCCAAACTTTCAGCTTCTAAGAGAACCATCTGTGTGAAACTTCACGTGGAAACTTACAAAGAATTTTTTTTGAAACTACTACATTTAATTAATGAAGGACAAAATACAAGACAGACTTTGCATTCCTGTGTTCAGTGCCAACACAACTTCTTAATTTTGGTATACCAGAATCCACACAGCGCGTTTCCTCTCTTTGTCAGCCTTCCCAGCATCCTAAGGGCTGAGAAGCAAAAGTTCTAAATATTCCTCACAATCCTACCCAGAGGTCTCATCTCACCTTTAAATCCCAGAAAGAAAGAAGCATGAATTTACCAATGGCAGAAAAAAGAGAATTTAAACAGCTGTGATTATCCTAAAAGGCTTTTTGATGTGCACACAAGAAGCAGGCCAGAACAGGGCTAGTTGAAACAATTTTGAACTCTTTGTGCTTGTTAGCCTTCTGCATTTGTTACCATGGTTATTTCTARTCAAAATGTTATACTGGCAGGGGTGTCTGCTAAAACAACAAACTTTGAGCAAATATTGTGGTATATTTTCCAATAGGAGTGCTTCCAGTATTTTTGCAGGAGAAGTTTAAAGCAGAGATGTCCCAGTTGGTGAACTAAAATACAAGCTAATACCTCTATCAGCACTGCTTTTTTCCCCCCATACAGAATAAATGGTACTCCAAATAATATCAGAATGTAGTACATTTGCTTGGGCAACARGGAAAATGAGTGGAAAATGGAAAACCTAAACGGTGCAGACTCTTGTGAATGAAAAATGAATTCACTGATGAAGAGAYCTTGAAATCGAGATTGTACAAGACCACCTTGGATAGAAAGCTGCCCAAGCAGGTGTTTGTAGTACAGGGATGCTATCTGGCTCTTCAGCAGAAASGCCACCAAGCTTGCACAGCCACCAAGGGCACTCTGAAGGAGGGGAGCTGGAGCCTTCTCCTGTGCCTGGCAAGGAGGGCTGAAACAYTCAGACCTTGCTGACCTGAGATTAAAAGCAATAAGGGTCTTGTGGTACAGCAAAGAGAAGTCAGAGAGACAGAGGAGCATGATGTAACCTCAGGCCAAAGACAAGATGATGATTTTAACAGCAGCTGGATGATGATGTTGAGCCCAGCTAGCAAGAGGTTACGGTTGTCAAAAATAACATTTTTCTGCAAAACAGATCGCATGACATACTATAAAAACTTCAGCAGCACTTTACACATATAAAATTCTYCAAGTATACAATAAAATCTTCCAAGTATGCAATCTTTTTTTTTATGGAAAGAATTTCTGAATCATAAAACCAGSGGATCTATACCACAGTGAGTGGCATGTTTCTCTTGAAGCCTTTATATTTAGCTACTCCCTCTTAACAAA